TGCCTTCCACCTGAGGGTGAGGCCTACAGCATGCAATGCCCGGGCTGCTGTTCACAAATTAAAAAAGGACAGAATCACCCGCACTCCTATTTTTTTATCCTCAGAAATGGGCTTGCTCATCCTTTAGGGGAAGGTTTTGAGGGAGGGACCAGTTAATATTTTATCTGCCTGGGTTTGCTGGCCAGGCATCGGCTGCAAGGCACTCAGATACCACAGTGATGGGCATAGGGTCCCACTTTCTTCCTTTGTAGGGTGTACGTCCTCCTCTGGGCCCTGCTCCCTCTCTGCTTTCTTCTTTTTGTGGGCTACCCTCCTGCGCGCAAGGAGCCGACTGAGCGCCAGAAAAGGCCACGTGCCCGTCCTGAAGCATTTATGACATGGAGACATTTGAAATTCCCAAACTGATGCAAAATGAGCACCTCACAGTGGAACCTTTTCAGTCCCTTGCCACTGGCTTTGCATTTTGCTCACTGAGTTGGTGGGATTGTCCCTGCCCTCTGCGTGCAAATCCGGCACCTTTTTCACGGCGGCTTCCATTGCTGCTGCTGCTAATTCTCCTGCTTCGGGCCAGGTTAAATTCCCTTTGGCCAAAAGGAATTTGGCCAATTCCTCTTTGGTTGCTGGTATTAATAATAAGAGAAATCCTTCTGTCCCACAGCAGATCCCCTAGGACATTTCCACGTGAGCAATGGATGTTGACCTTTTTAACTGGCGTTCAGATACCACGGTGTTGGGCATAGTAAATAGACTTGCAGCCAAGCAGGCTGTATGTTTGTATTTCTAGCTCTCCCAAGATGGTGTTGCAGTCTGGGCAAATACCAGGCCCCCAAAGGGTCAGGGGACAGTGAGCTGGGCACAGGGACGTGAAGAGCAGGGCCTGAGTAGTGCTGTAGAAAGGCTCCAGAAGCAATTCAAGCTTCTCCTCCACTATCCACCAATGGGGCCCAGTCTTCTCCTGGAGGAACCCCTCCTGGGTGAGTGGACAGGCCCGTCTCCATGCCCGTGAGAATACCACGCGGCCCATGCTTTGTGGTGGCGTTGATACCTGTCCACCAGGCACCATTTATTTCACCTAGGGGAGCTCTGCAACATTTTGGACACCTAGAATTGTCTGACAATATAACAATATGTTATCATCAGGCTGAGGCTCCCGAGCTGCAAGTGGCTCTTTAATGTGTCTCCTGCAGCTGTTTGCAGCACATGATATTAAAACACCAGGTCATTTAATTATTAGCCAATCTCAGTTATTAACCAATCAGGATGCTTTTACTGTGTTATACTAAACATTTCCCCTGGCATACTGCTTACATGTGAATCGATAGGACTCTAGGAAATGGAACAGTGAATTCACACGACTGTGGCTCTTTGGGGTAATGTTGAGCGCTAATTTGGCTCCTGAATCACTGAGGTGTGAGGATCCCTGCTCTAGAGCAAGGCAACGTTAGTGTCTTGGGCTAGATGTGAACCAGAGAACTTGAAGTGAAAGGCTTTGTATCCCGTTACCTTGTCCTGCTCTGTAGGAATGGATCTTGGTATCCAGGCCTGGACTTTCCACAGCAGCAGTATACACAGCATCGTACGTAGCTCCCAGATTCCTTTTCACTATGCCAGCCTTACCAAGCGTGACCGATGGCCATCCCCATAGAGGGATGGAGTCAACAAGCCATACAAGAATCTTCCAGTATCAGGAGAAAGGGACATTTGTTTTATTAAAGAAGGATAAAAGACAAACAAAACTAAAGCAAATAACTCCCCTCTTTAGAGATTCCAGTGAGCTTCTCACATCCCTTATCATTCCCTTTTCCCCCTGGCCAGGTCCCCTGTCCCAGGACGGGATGCTAGAAAGCACTACGTTTTCTTTATGCCACTCACAGACGTGCAGAGGGAATCTTCAGAAGGGCAGAATCTGCCAGGCTTCCGGCTGCTTTGTGCCATGCAGGGGTGTCCTCCTGATTAAACTGATCCAAGACAAGTATCTGGTAGCTGTTAGTGGGGGACTGGTTGTGATGAGTGATGTAATCTATTGCTGACACTTTTCTTAGTTTGGAATGGCTTCATGTTTCCTTTCACTGCTACCGTGTTACACTGACACTCCAACAACATATTTAATACACTCACATGCTTTTCCAAATGAAACAAGAGGGAGGTGACAATATACTGTCCTCTGAATGGAAAAGGCTTTCCATGCTTTGGCACCACCAATCACCATGCAGCATGAGCTGTCTCGAACATAGACCTGCCCTCTCTTACTCCAGATTTACACCTGTGTAACTACACGGACTTTTGTGGGGTGACTCCAGATTTACACCAGTGCAACTCAGCAGATTTTGGCCCATCGCCTTCTTGAATTTTGGAAATCTCTTCATTATTGCTGTGTCAAGCTCTGGAGAACCTCTGTAGGTCAAAAATTACATGGCCAAACCCTGTTTTCAGTGACAGTGACGTAAATCCGGAGCAATTCAATTGAAATTCATTGAGCTGCTCTGCATTTGCACCCACTGTTCCCTGGTACCGCTCCAGTCTCTTTGGCAAAAGTTTAGGAAAAGACAGGCATCTACATCTGTTGTCCTGTGTTTTCCAAGAAGACAAATGGACTGATTCCCAGGCAGGAGGATGTTGAATATGCAGCTGAAAACACCATCAGGGCCCGCCTGCCATTCTGGAACAGAATTTATTGATTTCTGGGTATGAAACAAATTTTCATGGCTGTGTTTGTTGCCCTCCCTCTTGGGTATTTGGTAGTGAAAATCATGACATTCTTACTAGTAGACTTGATGATGTGGGTATATCCAGTTCTTCCTTAAAACGTCTTGAAAGAAAGGACCTATGGCCACTAATCCAGGGATGTAAGAAGTGAGATGGTGGGACCATCAAAGGCCTATGTTGTATTTCTGACTCACTGCTTGTCTGTACACAAGGACGCGGTTGTGCATGACTCATTGGTCTTCAGGCAGCCCCGTGGTATTGCGGAGCTGACTGTTCGGCTGCAGTTAGACTTCTGTTTGGGAGCAATGTGGATTGCTCAGCAGATATTTGTATTTAATGCTAACCAAGCCAATAGGCTACATTTTGAACCCTTAGAATTGTCGGACAAAACCTTTGTGGATCAGCAAAATGGATGACTGACCTCTGGTCTTTGACGCATACATCCCGTTATCCTGTTGTGTGGTTAGAGTTAGGTCTTACTTTGCAAAATCCCACAGGATCTCCTAGACAGAGCCCTCTCTCTTACTGTATATTTTCGTTAACCCTTTATCTTTTGGTTTGCATATTATCCCTAAATATTTGTCCCACACTGAATGAGCTAATGCAGGAGACCCGTGTATCATCTTTTACTTTTATTTTTCCATTTAGGAGAAAATAGTTATACAGAGGGATTAAATTACGTATGGCTGGGGCTGAAAAGCCATGTGTGGGGTCCAGTTGTGGAGTTTGGGGGCTTGGGGGCTCCATCTCTGCTTTGTCTTTTATTATTAATCATCATCATCATCATTTCTATTACAATATATAGACTCTAGATATTTTAGACATCATTCTATTACTGCCTAGCAGCCATCTCTAAAGAAAATCAATTTTCACGTAACATGCTTACCATGTGATGGATCCAAAGAACAGTTCAGTTTCCTTTCCAGTGTTATATGTGAAATGTATTGACACATTCACATCAAATTTGCTGCTTACAAAGAGCCCTATTGAACTCCTGATTGAAACCAAGGGGCCCAACGGAGTAACAGAAAAAAATGTTTGTGAACAAATGCAGAGATTCACAACAAATATCCCCAAAAAGAACATATTTAACTCACTCAACGAACAAACAAGTAACTTGCCCTACGCTTTGTCTAACTAAACACTGGTCAAAGGTGGGCACCTGCAAAATATGCCCTTGCATCTGCTTTGTGCGCAAAACCCACATCTGCAGCCACAACTTAGGTGCTGACCTTTGAAAAAGCGGCACTGCCCTGTCCCAACGGCAGTGACACACGTGTGTTCAGAGCATATTTCACTATTCCTTCGGGGCCATGGGGAGCAATTCAGGGCTTTCTTCCATCCTTAGGTACACTGCCTGCGGGGGTCCCTCGCTAGAAGTCCCGGGTAGGTATCCAGGAACAGAGCTTGAACCTTAGGTTTCTTTGCCTGCAGCTGCAGGAGCGGCCCTAGCCATTTTGCCAGCCAGGATGGAAAACGTTTTCACCCCCCGCCTCAGCAGTGGAGGGGGAAAAATCAAACAAACCCACTCCGGCTGGCCAAGCAATGGGGCAAAACCAGGTCGGCCAATGCAGCAGAGAAAGGGGGGAAAGTCAAGGGGCACAGGAACATGTTGCCCCTGGAAGTTGGCACCCAGAAACCACCCTGCTCGCCCATTCCTGGAACTGGCCCTGAACAGCTTGGCAGTAAACTCATTGGGTCTACTGCTTTGACATAGCTGCTGTTCCCTGCTGCTATTCCCTGGGGGAAATCTTTAGCTCTGCTGGTATCTTCTTTACCTGTTATTATTTCTTGAGCGGGTTGCAGAAGTGCCCGGGGGCCCAACCAAATGCAGGGCCCCATTATGCAGGGCGCTGTACAGACACATAGCGAGAAACAGCCCTGGCCCTGAAGCTCTTACCATCTCTGTAGACAAGACTGACAAAGGGTGGGAGGGGAAACCCAGGCCTGGAGCGGGGAAAGATGACTTGCCCAAGGGCGCACAGCAGGTCAATGGAAGAGAGAAGAACAGAGTGCGGGTCTCCTGATTCCCAGTCTACTGCCCCATCCCCTAGACTCCTCTACACTTTCCCTCCCCAGCTTCTAGCGTATGCATCTTAAAACGATCAAACCTGACGTTCTTCCAATAGGTTGAGTTTGGAGTTTTATGGCCAAGGGACTTCGGTTTCCTCTGCATTCTCAGGCTTCATTTAAATTACGCCGGGGGTAATGCCCTCACATGCATCCCTTGCCATCTGGAACTCCGAGTCCCCACAACAGTCACTGGACATGGTCCTCTCTGCTGTCTCCACTAGGCAAGACCAGAACAAAAGACAAGTACCGGGTGGTGTATACGGACCACCAGCGCCTGGAGCTGGAGAAGGAGTTCCACTACAGCCGCTACATCACCATCCGGCGGAAAGCGGAGCTGGCAGCAACGCTCGGGCTCACCGAACGGCAGGTCAGTGCTGAGCTAGTCACGACTCAGTGGGCCGGGCTGGACCCCGAGGGGGTATTCTCCCTCTTCCCCCATCAGCAACAGTCAATGGGAGGAAGATGGGTAACAATCCAACCACTGCCAGTGGCTAAGGGCTCCTCCAGCCAACCCCATCCCTGGCAGCTGAGACGGGGCGGAAGCGGATAGGTGGGGAGACGTGGCGCCTGCGTTGTCCCGTGGTATGCGCTGAGGCAGGCAGCCTTGGATATTAGGCCTAACTGCACCCATTGAAGTCAGCGGTAAAACTCCCGAGCGCACAGTTAGGCCAATGCGGAGAGCTTTTGAAACCCACCCCCCCACTCCTAGGGTGACCCTATAAAACAGCAGAGGGAGCTGGGAAAGCTGTAGGGGGAATGAGAAAGCTACGGAGGAGACGGGAAGCGAGGTTAGGAATCAGGGGCGCTCTGAGGGGGTGGGCGGCTCGTGTTCGGGCACAGGCCCAAAGCGGCGAGGTGGCTCATAAAACGAAGACTTCCCTGCCAACCCCCACACCACGGCTCCTTGTTCCTTCCGGCCTAGGGTGACCATACGTCCCGCTTTGGCTGGGACAATCCCTTTGTTAAGCCCTGTCCTGGCCGTCCCAACTTTTTGACCAAAAAGCGGGGTGTGGAGGAGCGTGCCGGGGGGAGGTGCGGTGGAGAGTGGCGATGCCAGCCCCACATGGGGTGGGAGGGAGGGGCTCAGGCTAGCCCTGCGCGGTGTCCCATATGGTCACCCTATCCCCTGGCGCCCCCTGTAGCAAAGTCCCTCCATCCTGTGTGTGCCCGAGGAACAATAGTGAAGACAGAAAAACTAACCTGGCCCAGGACTGACTCCTTGCACTGACTCCCTCCAACCCTCCCGTCCCCATTACCTCACACGCTCTTTCCCTCCCAAATGCTCGCTCCTCCTCTGTCCCTGGCCTCGCTCACTGCCATATTTCATACTGCCTGCTTCTCCTTTCCCTGTTTCTCTCCCCCCTCCCCATGCCTGTCCGTCTCTCTCATCTCGTCTCCACAGGTGAAAATCTGGTTCCAGAACCGGAGAGCCAAGGAGAGGAAGGTGAACAAGAAGAAGATGCAGCAGCAGACGCAACCCACAAGCACCACCACTCCCACCCCGCCGGCTGTTGGCACCCCAGGTCCCATCGGCGGCATCTGCAGCAGCACCACCAACCTGGTCTCCTCTTCCCCAATGACTATCAAAGAAGAATTCATGCCTTAAGACCAGCAGATAGCAAGACACAGCTAGATGTGCCGTGCAGCGGAGTGGAAGCAGGTGGGGAGCTCTGGAGGCTTCACAAAGACATGATGCTGTAAGGGCTGAGCCTTCGAAGCCACTTCCTCTCTATCTGGAGGATATTTTTGATGGGAGATGACCCCTCTGTGGCGGTGTCATGGACTCAGTTCTATGTATAAAAACAATAGGTTAGTTACTGTTACTCTGTGGTAGGAAAGAAACACTGATCGGGCCTCAAATATTTATAATCAAATGCAAGAGGGGGCATTTGGGGGATGGAAGGAGACAATGGGGCCTAGGAAATGTCAGTGGCAGGAGGGGAATAGGTTAGGCTCCTGGCTGCAGGTTCAGGAGACTGGTCAGGAATGACTTCCCCTCGGCACATCAGGCGGAATGGGGCTATTCAAACAAGACTGGACTAAACAGTAGATGGATGAACTGCCTGGAACAAGCTTCTGAATCAGTCTCCGGCATCCCCCACATCCATCCAGGGGCAGAAGGGAGAGAAGCAGTTGAAGCTGTTCTGTAGGGGTGAGGAGCACACAGGAGACAGGACTGAAGAGATTAGCCAGGAGAAGACACTCAGCTGGTGCCTGGTGGGGGAACAGAAGTGGGGAGGGGACATGGGGACAGGCTAGGAAGGTTCTCTGGAGCAAGTGAGTTCTTGTAAGCCTGAGGCATCAAAGTGGGAGGTGGAGTAAGCACCATTCCAGGAAAGGTGGTTGTTTTAAACTGGGTGAATTTGGTCTTCCTTTAAACAACAGGCTCTTAGTACTGGGCTAGGAGCGGGAACTCCACTAACATACCTTTGTCCTCATCTGTAGCACCCACTGTTGTAGTCCCAGGCTCCCTACACACAGCTCTGCCAATGCTATTCCAGTCCTGCATGTCTTCTGAACAGCTGACAACTGGGTTCAGGTGCATAGGGATTGATTTGTAAAGTGGCCAAACGTCCAGCAGGAGCCAGGCTGAGACCACCCGCCCACCTTCGGCCACATTTATTTTATTGGGCTCCAAGCCAAAGGCTGAAGCTGGGTTCCAGAGGTGACAGTTCAGCTCCTAAACCCACTAGGCAACAGAGTCATCCCGCCCTTCCACGGCGCATCAAGAATAATTCTCCATATGGAATGCGAATGGCAAGAAATAACCTGGGTTTGGGGTGAGCCAGAGAGGAAGGGTGACTGCAGGTACTGCCAGAGCTAGCTCATTCTTGTCGTAAGAGGTCTTTAAATGCTGAGAGATTTCCGCATCTGGTCTGCAGATGTGTCCTTCTGTAGGAGCAGTCTGAACTGTACGGAGAACAAGCTGCGCATAAGAGTATTTGTAGTGGGGTTGGGGTTTAATATCTGCGCAGCATAACCTATTGAGGCTGGCGGGGAGGAGGGGATCTGAGATTCGTGTGACCAAGCAAATTCAGAATGGGGTTATTACAAAGGTGGTGCAAGGCTGGGATTGACCATCCTGGCCAGGTGTGGTGCAATGGCACTCTCCACAATACTCTGTGAGTTTCTTGCTGGTCATGCTGGTTCCATTGGGCACCTCTTATTGCCCATCTTGGTCCTAGTCACACAGCATGTCCTACTGGAGGCTTCAGGAGCTACCGGTAGTTCTTCTACTGCAGCATGTGACATGAGCCAATAAGTGGAGGAGGATAAAAGTGCAAAGGGAAGGAGTGTTTGAAGTTAGAGCATCTCCCTTGGTACAGCGCGCAGAACTGAGAATTGAACTGGTCAGTGACAATGAAAACAGCTATTGCAGCATCGAGTTTGTACGTGACCAGCCTGGTGACCGAGGTGGGATTTCACCCCATGGATGTGCGGGGACAGCACACACAGTGGCATCTGCAGGTGTGGGGAAATGCAGGCTCCATGAAGATGCTGTAAAGGTTGTGGTTTTCCAAAGAGAGTGAGCATGGTTGTTTCCCATTTCTCTGCCTCAGTGGAGTCCTGCACACCTCAGAGCCCTCTGGGTTTTCCTCCATTGTTCTCCTCACCACCACCACCCCTCACCCTCTTCTTGCTACAAAGCCCCTTGCGCCAGTCACTCATCTACACTGTGTTCCAGATGCCTGGGAGACTGTGGTTAATAAACACGGCAAAGGTCCAGACCCCAGTGCACTGGCAGAGCAATCTGGGCGTACAGCTGGCATAACCAGCCTCAGGAAACTCACCCAGCGTAGGGAGAATTCTCAGGTGGTGTACAGCTGGCATCGTGAGTTCTACACCACCTCTGTGCCCAGGTGCCCTCATAGGTGCATGGCTAGGATGGCCCTTCTTTCCCCTGAGCCACTATTGTCACGCTGGCCCCTTGAGGCCATTGGCAGTCACCGTAACTTACATTAGCCCTTAGGATGCTCGAAGGGCTTATCTACATGATGCCAGAATCCGCACACGAGGGTGTGTGTGTGTGAATTGTAGAGCGCTCTTAACACGCTGAGCTCTAACTGCTCCATGGAGACCCCGCTGGCGTGAACGCAAAGGTCCCTCGGTCACATGAACGTAGTCCTGTTTGAAACGGGACTACATCAGTGTGAACTAGGTCCCATTTTCATGCCACAGGGTCTACGTGGGACAGCTGGAGGGCAGCACGTTTGAGCGCTCTACGGTTCACGCCCCCGTAGTCTGGACTGTGGCACCGTGTAGAGAAACCCTGCTACATCAGGGGACAGTTACTGCACCCAGCTGCCATATGCAGGGGAGCACTGTGTCCCCGACCCTGAGCTTTGCTGGGCACTCCTTAATTATAGCCCGGGCTCTGGGCCTCAGCACCAAGGTAAAGAACTAGCAGCTTGCTCGAGCATCTCCACTCTGCCGCCACAGCAGTGAATAGGAACCCTCTGCAGATGTCCTGTCCTGCCACACATTGGGCCTTGTATAAAACCTGGGATGGCCTTTTCTGGGTCTGTCTCTTGGGTTGGTGCAGAGTTCCGGCCTGGAGTTCAGTGGGGATCATAACAAGCCGTTGCAATCTCTGTCTGAGGACTGGATGAGGCCCACTTTGTATCTCCCCCAGCATCACTCAGCCCATCGGTTGCTGGGGATTGCAGGTGAATACTCCAGTGGTACTGCCAGAACCTTCCAGCCCAGAGAGCAAGAGATCCAATGGGGAAAGGAAACTGAGGTCTCAGTGATGACACAGAGGGTCGCGAACTGTTCCCTGGGCCAGCCCTGCTCCTGCGGCCAACCTCCGGGGCAGTTTTAGCTCCCTCCCATCCCACGCCACGTGAGCACTGCCCCCTGGATACCCCTGCCTGCTGCTGTCAGGGGTCAAGATGTTGATGTTAATATTGGTTCAGGGCTTCGGCTCAGGTTTTTGTATATAAAGTGGAATCCTTTTTTAAAAAACAGCTTTAAAAATAAAAATGCGCAAGAACCCGGCCCACTGTGAATTTGTTGCTAGCCAGTTCCCGCCCCTATGGGCTCAGTTAGTATCCAGCACAGGCTTGGAGGAAGCTCTGTACCAGATTCACGTGACGTGAGCTAAACTAATGAGAGTTTTCCAGGTAGCAAAGCAAGATGCTGCCATCCCCGCTTTCCGCCCAGCTGCCGGCAGGATGCAGACCATCTCAGCACAGCTCCTGGCCAGCCGGCTGTCGGATTTGGGCAGGCACCTCATCACGCTGGGTTTGGTGGAGGCTGGGAAAAAGGCAACGCTCCCAGCCAAGTTAATCCCCCCAGTCACCTGGCTGCCGACGCCGAGATCGATGGCTGGGGGGCCGCTCTTGTGTCTGGTGCGGTCTGTGCAGGGGCCCTTTGTCCCCCTTGTTGACTCATTTTGAAGTGTCTGTGTCACATTAATAAAGGGTTCTATGGTGTTCAGTGTGATCGTTTTCTGGGCCTTAACACCAGGGGTACGTGTGAAGTGTGCCATGCCCGCAGCCCATGTGGGCAAATTGCCTGTGCCTGGTGCCTCTGGGCCATACAGGCACTTCCCTGGTGCCCAGTGCCCCTGGCCCATATGGACACGTCAGTGCCCGGTGCCCCTAGCACATCCGGGCACAAGTTGGGTGCAGTTCACAGGGATTTCGTTCCCCTCAGCCCTAGCAAGCATGAGGTGGCTCCATCAGTGGGCCAGGACTGTCATGCAGCTAGTGTTCTGACTCCCAGTTCCCAGGCCAGTTTGCTGTGCCTGGGGGAACCTCCCTGAAGGCTGTAATCTTGTAACAGCGGGGACAGCGGGGGCGAGGGGAAAGAACAAAGAACAAGGCCACCAGCCACCCCTAAACGTGGCAGCCTCTGATAGGTGTCGCCTCACTTCTAATCTCCGTTTATGGCGGTTAACAGGCCGAATACCCTCCCCAGTCAGGAACAATAAACAAAGAGAGAAGATGCAAGAGAGCGCATGGAGCAGCTGGCACCGGTGCCCTGCAGCGTGGAGAAGGGATGGCGAAGGGGAACAGGGACGGATGGGCAGCGTCTGGCTCTGGGAGCACATCCTGGTCCTGTTTCCATTCCCTGTCTCGCCCTTCCTCTGTGGTCACACACTCACACTGCCCCCTCCTCCCACCCAGAGAGCTTCTGGGGTAACCTGAGCGGGGAGGGGAGAGGTGCCAGTGTGAGGAGGAGCGGATGGTTACGAGTCATTTTGGATCCATATTAACCCAGGGCCTTGCAGCCACGCGGCCCTGGAGAGGGCGATCCTGACTGAGGCATGCTGGGATGGAGCTGTCTGTAGGATTCAGCACGGGGCCTAGCTCTGCCAATGGCAAAGTTAGGGCAAGGCCGAGCGCCTTTGAAAACCCCTTTCCAGCCATTGCCCGTGCCTGGGACTCCTCTCCAGTATTAATCAGCAGTGTGTTTGATTGTTCGTTCAGCCCACGTGCTGAGCAGGGCCACACGTAACACAGCGCCCTCCCCCGGAGGCATGGAGAGAGGTGGGAACACCTACACGGTGTGGGGAAGCCGCTTTGCAGTGAAGGTGGGTCTGGCAGCTGGGGTCGGGGGAAGCATGGGGGATGTTAGAGGGAGCTTACTACCGGCCTAGTG